GGAGCGGGAGCATTTCCGCAGGATCATTAACGCCTTCCGATACTACGGGTAACCGATCTCCGCGGGAGCGGCGCTCCAGGAACCACAAAGAGGAGGGAAGAAACAAAGGAAGTACCCCTTAAAGCTCAACATGCCAGGCCCGTAATGCGAGGAGGGGGTAGACGTGGTTTTTTTTTTTTTTTTTTTAATAGATAAAATGATTAAAAACTGATATTGGAAAGCGACGATAGTTTACACTAGCAAAGAAATGCAAATGATGTTTTCCCTCCTCGGGGGTGGTTGGGGTAATTTTGGAAAGGCAGGTTAATTTGCAGAAGAAGGGAGACCTTTCAGTAGGGGTGATGGATGCCCTTTTGTTACAGTTGTGCAGTCGTTTGCTGAGCGATCAACGTGATCGATGACCTTTTAGGAGAAAGATAAGTGAGAGGGGGAAAAAAATCCTCACTTGACACAGGAGTTCATAGAATGAAAGAGGATAGTCCTTCAGATTACACTTAGGCATGGTTGGAAGAGGTCCAGCCCTTGAGAGTATTTTGGCAAATTGTCTTCTATTGTATTAGGTTTGTGAAACAGACCTGGGACATAGTTTCACTATGTATTTTTATATTTTGGTTAACAGTGCTCAAATAATGCAGTTTGTCATGCACAGACCCCTATTTGGCAATATAAGACATGCATATCCATAGCATTTAAATGACAGGTTTCTGGAGGGATGGGTGACACCAGCCTTTTAGCTGTTTGCTTAGTGATTTTTGTATTAAGGCAGTTTGTGTTTGGGATATTTGTTTTTGCTTTTTTTGTTTGTTTGTTTTCCAGCACTATGCTATCTGAGCAGAAGATTCAAATATAGGATTTCCTGATGACCCTTCCAAACTGAATTCTCTATTTCACTTTAGTCATAGCAAAGTCTTTATTTCAGTCATAATATATGAATATTCATTTAGTCTGTTAGGATTGTCTGTGAAGTAATTTTGAGCTCTGGCTTTAAACCCTTTGAAACTTCTGTCCCTGTGAGTTTCAAGCTCAGTAGTGATTCAGTGCTTTCAAATATTTTGGTTTTAGTAATGGAGCTAGTATTCAGCTACTTGATTTGTGCTTAGTTTGAAAGGTTAGTTTATTTTTCTTTCTTCTTTTTCTTCTGTGTTTGTTTGTACTGGAATGTCATTTTAAAGTAATGTGGATATTACAATAAACAGTTCATTTCTTGGTGGCATGTTTGCATTGCTAGAGAACATTTAACTGGTAGGTTGAGATTGCAGTCAGATTTGCAGCAATTGCATCTTACCACTTCTGGTTGCTACTTCCCACCATGGTGCCACATGGTACACTGACATAAGAGTTGGAGAAAATGCAGTATGACCTGAACTGATAAAATCCTTGCAGCAGTCAAAAGGGGCAGTATCCTTGTCTACTTCTGGTTTCACAGTCTCTTCCTCTCTAATCCCTTTGACCCTGTGCTGAGCCAACGTGACATGCTAAGATGGCAAAAAAAAAAAATTGTTTTCTGTCAGGTTAATGAGTCAAACTAGGTTTATAGCAGGCCTGGTGAGCTCCAGAACTGTTGCAAAGTAGAGAGAGGGCAGAATGTACTGGGAGAGGAAAAGGAAGAGCAGAAGAAAGAAGACTTTCTCCCAAAAGTAGCTTCACACTTTCTCCTCTGTGGAACTGTTATTTTAAGGAAAGGAACAACTTATTTTTAGCCTGGATCAGTTACACGAGAGATTCATAGCCCTATATTCCCACTCTGTATCCCACTATTGCAGTAACCAAAGGTTAACACAACATTCAGCTCTTTCATTCCATTTAAATTGGATTTGAGAAACAATTTTTATGGGTTTTTGGCTTGTTTTTTATTGAATCCATTTTGTAGGTCCGTGTGTTAGAGGATTGATCGCCTTTACCGGAAATGTGTGGCTAGTGATAGAACAATGTGAGGTACAAACAGTATTTAAATTGCAGCATATTGTTTCATATTACCACTCTTTCAACTGCAGTTTAGGACAGTCATTTTATCTTGAAATCTGACCACTTCCTGAGTTCAGTTAAAGAACAGGATTGTTGCAGTAGCTTTGAGTGTATTCTTTGTTTTTATTTGTTATATGTTGTAGCTCCTTATCTAAAGACTGTATTTTTTTTGCTTTCTAGAACTAGTATGCATGAACGGGTGAACAGAACAGAGAGGCAGTTTAGGTCTCTTCCACCTAACCAACAGAGTCTTCTTCCTCAATTCCTTCCTCACCTTGACAAGATTCGGAAATGCATCGATCACAATCAGCAGATACTACAGACCATTGTGAAGGACTGTGTTCATATGTTTGAAAACAAAGAATATGGAGAAGATGTATGTGAAAACTTTTTTTTTTTTTTTTTGGTCATATTCCAGAATTAAATCCTGTATGCTTTAAGATATTCTGCATTTGTTTTTCACAAATTTTGTCCTCCAGCCTTTTTTACTTTTGCCTTTCTTACTTTTTCTTATTTATAAATTCCTATTTGCTTATATTTTCTCACTGTGATTTATGTTAGGCTCTCTAGTTACAATATGTTAGGCTCTCTAGTCACTCTCTAGTGAAAACTAATAGAAAACCTACAGCAAATGTCAGTAATCACTTTTTGTAAAACTTTTTTAAAAAAAACTCTGGTCTTCTATCTTGTTTATTATTTAATCTTATTTTTCATATTCTCTAAGCCATAATTAGTATTGTCTGTCTTTTTATAGGTTATTGTATGTCTAATATTATCATATATGTAGTTTATTTATCTATTTATTTTGCACTACTCAGTTTTCAGTGTGGCATTTCTATCAAAAAAAAGTTGCTCTCCAACTTGAAAGATTGGCAGTGATGAAAAGTGAGGTCTGTTTTTGCCATCTGCAGGCCAAGTACAGTTCTGGGAAGCTCCAGTGTGAGCTGCCTTAGGCTGTTGCAGTGACACAGATGGACCTCCTTCTCGGGGTGGGAGGTTCCATCTCTCTACTAGTTTTTAATTAACTAGAACTCTTGCCAACCCTAAAAGCATGACTTCCTATATGTTTCTGCATTGTTTTTTATTTCTAAAACTAAAGATACTTATCTTGACTAATCTCTATTTTTTTTGTTTTGTTTTTTCACTTTCCTCAGGGAAGAGGGAAGATTATACCAGCCTCAACATTTGACATGGATAAGTTAAAGTCTACCTTGAAACAATTTGTAAGAGACTGGAGTGAAGAGGGTAAAGCTGAAAGAGATTCATGCTACCAGCCAATCATTAGTGAAATTGTAAAGAACTTTCCAAAAGAGAGATGGTAAATTGAGTTTTAAGATATAATTTGATGTGGACCATGCACTGTTGCACAAAGATTACAAAGTTTTTAGGAAGTAAGAAAAAACTTGGATATAGTAATAATCGTTGTGAATATTGTGGAATTTATTGTTTAATCAAGATAGTTTATTTTTAAGAGCAGAATCATAAACTTCGTATGTATTAAGCCAGAATAAATATTTGTTTTCTGCGGCTTGATGTAATAGGCTTCATGGTAATTTTTGATGTAATAGTATTCAGAAGGCTGTGGTGTACTCAGTGAGGTGAAGTTTGCAGGTTAGCTGCTACTGGGGTGCTTGTGCTGCAGATAAGGGAAAGGCCACTATGAGAGCTGTAGGTGTATCTTAGTGTAAAAGGAGAGGAAAGACAACTAATCATTTTCCCTGTTATAATTTTATTGCCCTTTTAGTTTATCCTGTACATGCTTAGCTCTAGCATGGCTTTCAGACAGATGTTACAATGCAACTCTTGGAAAAACTTTTTAAAACTTTTTAAAATTATTGTACGTATTTTTGCTGTTGCACTGGCTTACTAAGAAGTACCACCAAAGTAATAATCAGTGCAGAGTTCTTTTGTGTAATTCAAGTAGAAGTATACTGGTAGAATTTGAGGAATATTGATATATTGAAGAAATTACTGCTTCAAGAATTCTATCGTTAATGATGCTGCCCACTTATCATAAAGTATCTTCTAGTGTAAACAGTACTGTATTTATTTTAATGTGACTTGTGAACTTTGTTCTCTTAGCATTTCAGAGGTTAGGTTAGATACGGCTGGAAGCTGCCATGGGATTCTTTCACAATTATTAACAATGAACCTGTACCAATTTCCAAATAACTTCTAACTTATTCTCCTATGAAATTTAATTTGGAAATGAGCTTTCTACAGTACACTGAAAAATATAGCTTCTTATATATCTTCAGAACTCTCCCTAGGAGTTAGCCTAGAGGAAAAATGATACAAGTAAAGCTTTTGCATTTGTAATTTTTAGTTTACATACAAGCACTTTGTTAGCAGCCTCTTGGAAGACATGAGATTGACTAAATTTAATCTTTGTGTCTAAAACTGTGTTCCAGTTTCAACCTGGTGGAAGTCCTTCTCTAGTTCTTAGTTTGTAAATGAGCAATACCGGTGTGTTGCAAAACTGATACATGACTTTTTGTTTTAAGGCCAAACAAGTTGGATAAAGACTGGAGAAAGTTTAAGTTTTGTTTTTCGGATGTATTGTTAAACTTATATATTTAATACACTAGGAAAAAATGTATAGAAGACAATCATAAGCCTTTTTACATATAAGCCCAGCTGAGATCAGCGGTTTGTGAATTCACACACATTTTAAACTGGAAATGGTAGAGTGATATGTCATACAAAATATTTCTTACAAATTTTTTATTTTTATATTCACCAAGTCCTTAATTTATGAGATAGGATTTTTTTTTTAACAAAGGTCAAATCACTGTTTCGAATGCACAATTTAAAACTTTGAAAGTTTAAAAAAAAAAAAAAGTGTACCATAAATGTTGTAACCGTTGATGCTACATAGCTATAGCTGCTCCTAGTTTCCTAGTTTAAGAAACAAAGGCGTGAAAGGGACTTGAAAAGGTGTTATTCCAGAAGGAATTCAGAAGACTCACCAAGGTGAAAATAGTTCTTTTAGTGTACTTTCTCTTCCTCTGCACTTATCCTAGAAGATTGCCTTTTTTTTTTTTTTTTTTTTTTTTTCCCCTCAGGTAGAGACATTGTTTGTAGCCAGCTTTTTGTCATTTTGCTGAATTACAGTAATGTATTTTATCCTGGCTAGAAATGAAGACCAAATTAGCTGCAGAGGATGCAAAATAATAATACTCAAAACTTATTCATCTTTAGCACACTACTCGAAATAAACAGGAACAAAAAGCTGGTTCATTCTGTAAGCATCTTCACTTCATTTTCCTAAGACAGAAATGCTGCAAGCTGGCTTAGTCATATTTTTAACTGCTCCTTAATTTTTAATAGATGTTCAGTATGTGTAGTGCTCTAGAGGAGATAAAATTTAATTCAGTATTACAGGTTACACGATGGAAGTAGTCTGTCAAATCTTAAAACGACAGTTCATTTTTTGTGTGCCAGACACAGCCAGTGTGAGACTGCTTTTATCCCTGTTGTGATGGCTATGAAATATCAGTTGCCTTTTTTTTTTTTTTTTTTACTCCCTTTCTGTTTCTGTTTTTATGTTAAACATCTCTGAGTTTCTGTCTCTCTCCAGTGAATGTTTGCATATGCATCTGTCCAAATTATTTAAAGCTTTAATATTGAAGCTCTTTATGGAGCTGCTGTAGCACTTTTTTCTCATTTAAATTTTTTTAGTTGTTGTCCCCAGCTCAGGCTGTATGCCATGGTTTTCCTACTTCAGTGTTAGTGTTATCTTTTCAGAAGGCAAGAAGCACAGTAGTTCAGAAGTACCTGTTCCCTTTGTTTCTCTGTTCTAGGGATTATAATCTGTGTCATCTCAACTCTGTGGAAGAGGCGATGTATCAGGCAGTTCCTTTATTTGAAAGTTTTAGTGGGTATCAGTTGGTTCAGCTTGAAGGAATGGCTTAGCCTGATCATAATGAAATTATTCTGTCTCTAGAGTATGCACTGGGTCCTCTTTTTTTCAAAGAGGACTGACTGGCAGTGAGGGATCATGTAAGAAAGTGGCCTGTGGATGGAATCTCAAAGTGCCCCTGTGTGTTTCTTTATAGTTCTCTGTAGTAGTCTGAAGGTCATGCAGTGTTGAAATTCTTGCAGAAGAAGTGTATTTTTTAGCATCTGGTTATGAAAACAGATTTACCTGGATATATTTTGCATTAGAAGAGATGGGGGAATAAATGTTCTAAATTTAAATTTGTCACTACAGCTCAACCTATATATTTTTAATGGCTTTATCAGGATTGTATATTTCATTGTAGCTCTGGTTAATATAATTCCTGTTTCTTCTCTCTCTTCATTGGTGTAATTAAAAAGTAATAGGAAAATTTGTGGAGAAAAATAAACAGGCATGGTATTTCAGTCAACTTAGATATAGAAAAAGATGATCTGCTTTTAGAGGTTTTAAGTCACAATCTAGAACTATTCAGCTTGCTGCTGTTAGAGATCCATGCATGCCAGCATTGTATTGCAGTTTTCTGCAATATCAGCCTACTCTAGGTATGCAAAGTAGGAAAAGAAGTATTAAATTCTCTGTTATGCTGGCAGTTCTGGCATGCAGAACAAGCAACAATGGAAAGCAGCTGTAAATAAGAAGGGTCTTGTGAGAAGATCGTAGTGTTATCTTGTGTTTTGATCCATTTTCTTGGCAAGGCTCATCCAAAAATAAATGCAAAAGTTGTTTCTGCTCCATACTTTTTCAGAAATCTTTTTTTTTCTTTTTTTTTCTTTTTCTGTGAGCATAGAATATGTTAATAGGATCATTGAAGTGGTTGAAGTTACATGAGATTAGAGTCTTTCTGAAGAAACAATGGATTTGCTGTATTATTCAATTTTAAATTTCTAGAATTGTCCACCTTCTTGACCAATTCTTCTTAATTCCTTTGGTCTGAATTAATGTTATCACTGTCTTCTGTGGAAGAAAATAGTAAGACATGGATATACTTTCACGTTTTGATTAAATGTGGCCACTTAAGCGTATTTGATGAAGGAACAAAAATGTGAAAATCTAGATAAGCTTATTGAGGAACATTACTTCACAGCAAAGAGTTTTTTCTTTTTCTTTCTTTTTTTTTTTGTTCTAGTCGATTCATTTTCTTTATCTTCTTTTTTTAATGTTTCTTACTTCTATTACCTTTTCTGCTTATCTGAAAGTTTATGGAGATCTGATTTCTTGTTCAAAAGGAACCAATGGAGATGTTCAGCCTTAAAGTTAGTTAACATCATTCTGTGCCCAAGTTCTGTAAATGTAGGTGTTTGCACTGATGTTTTCCTTTGTTCATTTATTTGGTCTATAGAACCAGTGCCTGCTCCCCTTCTGCCCCCCTTCATTACAGACTTAAATGTTTACATCAAATCCCTAGGACAACAACTGATTATATTTTCAGTGTATGCCCCAAAGAGTGATGAATATTTAGATTCCTTTTTAAGTCTGAACTTGGCCATACCTTTGTATGCAAAATAAGTGTGGACTGGACAAGTGAACAGTGAAGAGGATTGAGGACTGGCTGGATGGCAGAGCTCAGAGGGTCATGATAAATAGAGCTGAGTATATCTGGAGGCCTGTGGCCAGTGATGTCCTGCAAGGGTCAGTACTGGGCCCGGTGCTCTTCATCTTGCTCATCAATGGCTTGCACGAGGGTACAGAGTGCACCCTCAGCAAGTTGGCAGATGACACCAAACTGGGAGGAGTGACCCAACACTCCCGAGGGCTGTGTTGCCATTCAGAGAGACCTGGACAGGATGGAGAGTTGGGCAGAGAGGAACCTCATGAGGTTCAACAAGGACAAGTGCAGGGGCCTGCACCTGGGGAGGAATAACCCCAGGCACCAGGACAGATTAGGGGTTCACCTGCTGGAAAGCAGCTCTGCAGAGATGGGGCTTGGGAGTGCTGGTTGACAACAGGTTAACCATGAGGCAGCAGTGTGCCCTTGTGGCCAAGAAAGCCAATGGGGTCCTGGTCTTCATGAGTAAAAGCGTTGCCAGCAGATTGAGGGAGGGGATCCTGCCCCTCTGCTCAGCTCTGGTGAGGCTGCACCTGGAGTATTGGGGGCAGGTCTGGGCTCTCCAGTAGAAGAGGGACGTGGTGCTTCTAGAGATAGTCTTTCCTCATACAATAGATGCTTCAGCCCCTTAATCATCTTCGTTGCTCTACACTGGACCAAGTGAGCTAGGCCTGTTTCTTTTGGAGAAGAGAAGATTGAGAGGAGATTTTATCAATATGTATAAGTACCTGAGGAGATAATGCAGGAAGGATGGGGCCAAACTCTTCTTGGTGGCAGCCAGTGACAGGACAAGGCATAATGGCTGGAAGGTGAAACAAACGAAAATTCACCTTCCTG